AAGAAAGAAAGAAAGAAAGAAAGAAAGAAAGAAAGAAAGAAAGAAAGAAAGAAAGAAAGAAAGAAAGAAAGAAAGAAAGAAAGAAAGAAAGAAAATGCCTTGACTTGGAGTTCCAAGTTGACTTTGGCCCAGAAAAAGAAGCACTTGGATCCCACTTCATAGGACATTTATTCAGTTATTTGTTGGGTGGTTTGTTAGATTTATATAGCGGCCCAATTCGCCATTTGGAATGACACCTTTTATCTCTTTTCGGTCCCGGTACCAGCGCAGGGTGGCAGCAGGGCGTGACCTGGGAACGCTGCAGGTGAGTTCAACTTCCCCTCCTTCCACCGCCTGTTCTTTCACCTCGACTAAGGGACTGTCAGGGGGCACTGGAAGAAGAAAAAGCAGGCAAATTATCAGTCACAATCTCCTTCGTATCACATCCCATGGCTGAATCCTACATACGAATACCTGAACCGTCTCCAATGGGGCAACTTTCTTAATTAATGCTTCAGCTGAGGAGGGGAGATTCCTTCACACAAGCTTCCCAATTCAAATCCATTCTGAGAAGGTCATTTTCAGAAGGAAAACAAGGACCTAGCCTTCTACCACAAAGCTAAGCAGAAAAAAAATGAGAGAAACTAGAGGTGGGGATGACCCTCTGAAGGAAAAAGGGCTCAATGGTTTGCTAAGTCCCTTGACCTCTATTGTTCCATCCAACACTCTTACTTGCAAAATCAGAATTTTGAAAACCAAGTATACGTTTAATCTGCATAAATGCTTCCATTTATGTTCTGCTAAGGAAGAATCTAAGTCTTCTCTCGCTGAAGATTATCTGCTCAAATACTGCCAAAGTCTGACCTTGAGAAATGATCATGTCTTCTAACAGTCATACGTCTGGTTAGGTAGATTCCCGAAAGTGTGACTTTCAGAAAGGCTACAGCTCAGCGTCAAAGCACATGTTCGGCACACTAAAGATCTTAGGTTCAATCTCCAAACTCTCCTGAGGGGGATAAAGCAGACTGGTCTGAAATTCTGGACAGTCATTGGAAGCCTTCTAGACCATAGTAGGCTACGATGTCCTTTCTACCAGCACCTTCCAAGGCGTACCTGATTTTCCTTTGAGTCTACTGCAGTCTGAGTTAGAGGGATGAATAGAGTTTTAGGAAACAGGCAAAAACTCTTGCCAAGTGGCAGTATGTGAAATCAGAACAACACACACACAACAGACCTCCTCGTCTCATTTGAGGAGACAAACATCCCCACATACATCATCAAGCAGCAGTTGATTCAACTGAGTAATCTCAAGAGATGGATAGTCACAGACCTACCTCTTTCAATCTGGACCAGCCCCATCCCAGTCAAGGTGATGTGGGGGTATTCAGTTTAAAGTGCTAAATGGCAGGGCACAGCACCCTCTTCTTCTGCTCATATCACTCTATCTTCTCCCTCTGGGTCATACTAAACATGATCTTATCCTGCCAACCACCTTCCTGGTGACTTTTCATTCTCCTCCCTGCCATACATGTGAATGGGGAAGGACTCCCTTTTAGAGAATCTTACATTTGTCAAGAGACTGGAAAGCAGGAACAAATTTAATTCTTACAAATGGATCCTACAGCAAAACTGTAGTATGGGGTGTATCTATTCTGGGTTCTAGGCTGCTAGCCATGTCCACAGCTCCACGTCCACATGCTCAGCTCTCACTCAACTGAATCCCCTTCTACTTCTCTAAAGATATTCCGAAATCCAAACATGAGGGTCTCCCAATGTTTGCAAATACCTCCCTGATCTTATGCATAGGTGATAGCATTTAGTTATGTGAGGATCCACTCAGAGGATGACTTTGCCATTATCATTCACTTCTCTCTTCCAGCCTGGTGGCTAATGGAAGCCAAGAGATTTGCAAGACTCTGACCCTTGTCACATTTTTGGGATTAACAGTATGCATACAGTATATACATTCAGACACCCCTAGCAACATGCAGAAGTGATGGTCCCTCTATTTCATTCTAAATGGTTCTCTCTGGGTTGTGCTTAAGGTTTTCTTTCAGAAAGTGCCTGGAAAAATCAAGGCTGCCTTCTGCCCTTTCCCAAATCCAAAGCAGGGTGGGTGCACATACCCAGCACAGTCAGGATGGCAATCTGATGGTGGGTGTCTTCTGTGTATAGCTGGCAAAAGTAGCCACCTTCATCTTCAAGACGGGCATTGGAGAGCACAATGCGGACCTGCTTTTGGGTGAACTCCACCAACTGGAAACGCTCATCCTTCAAGGCTGTAAGGAGCAGAAGGAAAATGCCTCAGTTGTGGGCCAATGAAACCAACAATTATCACCTTCTCCCAGGGACAATTACCCACAGTCATGGTTCTAAAAACTCCTGGTCTCTAGTCCTGGACAATGTTGTAGGTCAACATTTAGGGACAACAAGGAGGTAGATGACCCAACTTCCATGTGCTGATATCTCTGTGGCTCTTTGGCTCAAGTAGTTATTTCATCCCCAGCCCATAATCTGACGCCTTGATAGCTAGAATGCAGTTACCTCGTGTACCGTTGAAGAAGAGTGTCTGGCGAGATGGATTCTGGATCACCACAATGGAACCATCATATTGGTGCAGTTTGCAATTGATCTCAGCCTGCCCACCTTCTGCCACTGTCACATTCTCCGCTTGGACCTCCTGAGCTCTGGCTAGGGTACAGAAGAAGAGAGAAGGGGTTACCAGCCCTATTTCCAGGAGAAAGGCCATCAGGTCATTTTCTCTGCTCTGGCTAATCAAGGAAGTATGCTAACTGGATGGATCCTATCCCTACCAAACACAGTTTCTTACAAAGGTAATAGCTGGCTGGACATCAAGGTAGCTTTGGAAATTCTGTACCAGTGGGACCTAAATCAAAATAAGGGTGAGCAAGCTGCATCCCTAATGTTGGGCATGGCCCTCCACATAATTTCAAGAGCATTCTCCAAGCAAACCTCAGAGGGGATCAGAAGGGGTAAGAAAATGAGACAGAAAAGCATGCCCCCACACCCTCAGCTACCTTATCTGTGCTGCAAAAACCTCCCTGACCACTAGATGGCAGGAGAGAGTTGGAGTTCTTTCTATCTCTTTGCTATCAGCTCATGGTCATCCAGTAATCCATATTTTTGCTCAGGCATGGTTGGCCTAGCCTACCCATGGGTGCATGTGTGCTTATTATAATTTTGGCTTGTTTATGTGAGTCATCTAGAACTACTCATCTACCTAACTGGTTTATGCAGATTGTAGTCTGAATGACATGGGTCAGCGGCCAGCGGGTGGATAGTCTTGCCAAGCATCTAAAAGCTGGAGGGAAGGCTGTGAGATCTCTTTCTACTCCTTTGAAGCTTGACTAATAGTCCTTCACATCATCAGAAGTAAGCCATTATTCCACAGAGGCGTAAACAAGAGGACATCTCAGTAAAACAAAAACCAATAAAGTAAAATATGAACAGAGAAGGCATTACAGGTGTTGGTGGAGAATTCCTTACAGGAACACAGTCATCCAGGGCGTGTGGATTACGGGGGAAAGGCAACGCATGAAAAATATTAGACTGCAAGGACTCGTCTATGCATTTCTGCACACATCTTATGAAATGCCCAGTGCTTCAATGAACCCAGCACCGATTGGTGCCATATAGGTATTTGTTTATAACTCTTAACAATCACCTTTCCTGCCTGTAGGTCCTCTAGACAACACACAAAATATTAAACACCTTTATAAACGGAATGGAGACAAAAGGCCCCAGGTCAGTCTTAGAATTATGTTCTTCCCACAGCCTGCCTCAGCCATGTTAAATAAATGCTAAATAGTAAAAACCTGAATGCTAATAGGCTTAACACGATTCCAAGGTTCATTGGTATTATCCGTGCTACAGAAACGCCAAGAGCGGCATGCTATGCCACTATATACAACCCTGCACAATACAAGCTTGACATAAACCGAGCTTTAAGCTTTGCGACTTATCTGATGCCTGAACTGCATCGCTTTCTTCTCTACGCGTTTTAAAAAGGGGAGGGGGTAATTATAACCTACTCAAAAGATGGAGATGCAAAGGTCCAGCAAAGATTGAGAGGCTGAGCAAAGGTATTTTGCTACAGGGGGACGTAGAAAAGGGGGTGGCCTCTTCCTTTCCACATTCAGAACCTGAAGGATGGCAAAGAAGATAGCTTAGAAGATCAGGTTTTTAATGGGGGGAGCACAGAACAGGACATTGGATACCCATAGCTCTGTCTTCCCAGCAAGAGGAATGGATAGCGCACAAGAGGAATGGAGGCAGGCACTGCTACTGCTCCCCTGACACGTCTCTCCACCATCTCTCATCTCCAGACAGGTACCATGCTCTGCCTAATTGTAATGGCACGTGAGAAAGACCTTGAAAAAGGGGGCGAAGAGATGCTGCCTAGGGAACAGTCAGATAAGAGAGGGCACAGCCCGCAGCTGCATAATGAGTGGAGAAAGAGGCTCAGAAGGGACCCTCCCTAACTTCTCAGGCTGTAAAAGATCCCTTTTATGGAGGGAGATTTGTATTTTGTATTTGTATTTTGTATTTGTATTTTCAGACTTGCAAGATTAATGTCAGCCTTCTCAAGGAGACCAGACAGGAAACACGACCAGATGAGCTTATTCTACTTTCTTGTAAGGCTACATTAACAGAATCTTGCAGGTCTGAAAGTACAAATCTCCTGCCATCCCCTTTACAACCTGAGAAGTTAGGGAGGGTCCCTTCTGAGCCTCTTTCTCTTTCCATTATGCAGCTGCGGGCTATTCCCTCTCTTATCTGACTGTTCCCTAGGTAGCATCTCTTCACGCCATTTCTCAAAGTCTTTCTCACATACCATTACACTAATGGGTCAACCCAGAAAGTTGAAAAACCACCAGTGTGATAAGTCCAAGCTATCATTGCACTTCCCACTTCAGGGTAGCTAGGAATTTTGGGATGTATAGCCCCAATACCACTAGAAGGCACCAGGCTGAAGAAGACCACTCCAGACAGAAGATGTTGTCAGGGAGTTCTAGCCTGCTCAGCATTCTAGGAGAAGAACAGCCTCGTGTCCTTCACACCATTCGTTTCAGTCCATGGCCACTGGCGTGTTGGAGGAGTTCAGGGAGAATGTTAGCACCGTTAGAGGTGGCTGCCTTCGACAATAAATGGCAGGTGTCGATAAACCGCAGTCAAATTGAAGGGAGAGGGTGATCAAGCCCACTCAAAGCCAAGCACAAGGGATGTGATCTCCCAATCTCAGCCACCTTTGACCAGTATGAAGGCGGTCCCAGCCAAAAGTGTTTATCCAGCATCTCAAAAACACACAAAAAATTCTGCATCAAGATAATCCCCCCTTGTCATTCAGAAGGACTACTTTTTTCAGTCTACATAAATTATGCATTTGAGTGGCAAAGTTCTTCACCTAAAAATGATTACACAGTGTTGATTTTTCCTCCCCCGTATCACCCATGCCATTCAACTACAGAATGAAAGATCTAAAGCATCCAGACCCATCACCGTCTGGTGCACCAGAAGACAACAGTCAATGCTGGTCCAAGACATCTGAAGGGCACCAAATTCTGACTCTGGCCTTACAACCTCCACTTTGTGAATATCTGTGTGTGTGTGTGTGTGTGTTTAGGGAGGTCTCAAAGCAATGGAGGGACAAGTAGAGACGTGAACAAATGCATCACAAGAATCTCACAGGTGCAGAGACAAAAGATCACATAGGCATACACCAAGATACACAGAAAATGTCTCCATAAAAGGCATACAAGCTGTTTCTCTCCTCAACCAAGGCCGATATTGTGAGCGTGTAAATCTTTGTCCTTTTCTCCAGCAATTCCAGGATGCCACACGGTACCCATACTGATCTCCCACCTGTCCATACTGCAGATGGGCACCACATGGACAATGCACTCCTTGCCAGAAAAATACAAATGATACCCAGAGAGTTTGCACCGCACTCTGTTTTTTCCCTACATGCTTCATCCTGCATGTCCAACAGGATGCTTAGATCTCCAAAGCAAAAGCACCAGAGGTGCTAATGAGGACCGGATCCGACACAGCTATATCTGCCACGTTCTCCAGAGGGCAAAGTGTCTGGATGCTCCAAAATGAATTAATTCACATGCACTTGCTCTGGGCTCAGATCCATAAAATTCAAGATCACTTTTGACATTTATTTTTCCTGGCTCCACCATGAGCAGAAGTGAATTCCAAAACAGCTAGGAACAGTACAGCCTTTACGAGCTGTGGTCAGAGGGAAATCTGAGGCATCCATTGGAGAAAAAGTCCTCACTGTTATCAAACCCAAGTTCCACTATTCACACACGGCAAGGCATGGCTGAACTGTTTATATGGGACACACTGGGCTTAAATCCATCAATACAGAGAAGCCTACCAACTCTTGGAATAATTAGAACCAGTACTGAACTGCTAGGAATTTAACATTATGTTTTATCTTGCACTTTAGAATGATATGGAACAGGTCTTAGCCTTCTTCAATCTGATATCCTTTTGGGTTTCATTACCATATCCCCCCTGGTCTTCTCTTCTCAAGTCTAAGCATATCCAATTCCTTTAATTTTTCATAGAATTTTAGAGTTGGAAGGGACCCCAAGGATTATCTACACCAATCCTTTGCAACGTGCAGGAAAGCCAATTTAACCATCTGTGAGAGTGGCTATCCAGGGATGGAGAACCACAAGTTCCATAGCTAGAATACTCCACTTTGAACAGATCTCACTGTCAGGAAGTTTTTCCTTATATTTGAAGGAAATCTAGATAGCTGCAACTTGCACCTGTTATTTCTGGTCCTAGTTTCTGTGGCTATGGAAAATAGTTATTGACCATCTTCCCTGGAGCTTCCTTTTATGGACCTGTTGCTTCACAGTTTCTAGTCCCCTGATTATCCTCCTTGATCTTCTTAGAAACAGCATATCACTGTATGTGGTCACAAATCCACATGCATAAAGAGGGAACTGAAAGAGAGTAGTGAAAGATTAAGGATGGGTAGAAAGAAAACCTCTTAGCTCTGTTGACTATCTCACCTGAGAAAAAGCCACCATCATCTTTTAATAAAGAAAGGAAACAAAAAGAGAGGATGACTGCTGGGGTAGAAGGAATGGGGGAAGGCTGGAAATAAGAATGCAGAGGTTCTACCCCTGTGTAAAGCATCCTCTTCCTCTCCCATGCGTTGTCTCCATTGCCTCCTTCTTTCAACAACCAGAACGTCACAGCCTGCTTGGGATTCCTGGGGACACATTCCAGCCATATGCCTTTTGCTAAAGATCAAGACTTGAAAATGCCAGCCCATCCATCAGGGCGCTGTGCCAGAGATGGAGGAATTAACCCTACTGCCACAGTAGGATCTTTCAGAGCCCTTGAAGCGTGGCAACAAATACAGGCCAAAGACCAGGACCACCAAGACCTGACTCTCTCTTCACTGTCACAATACTGGGCACCAGTTTCAGACAATGATGCGCAGAGTCAGTTTGCCCAGTCCGAATCAGCTGACTTCTCTGAATGGGAGCCCGTGTTAATAGGTTTACTGACCTGAGGGCTCCTCTGCATAGTTTCCCTTCTTTTTCAAGTCACTCTGCCCCCATCGCAGGCACAGAAGAGTCAAGAGACAGACTGATCCTTATTCCTGTGTACCACTCCTATCCCTAAGAGCTCAGGGCCAG